CCTCCTTCCTAGAAAGTAATACCAAGAATGTTCTGACAGTGTGTTCTCATATTCAGTAAAAAAAATCCATTGGACACTTCTCTTAACTGACTGGAAAAGATCTGTATTTGTTCCCATTCCAAAGAAAGATGACTCAACAGAGTGCAGAAATCATCAAACAGTATCATAAATATCACAAGCAAGAAAGATTCTGCTGAAGATTACCAAAAAAGACTGGAACAGCACATCAGCAGAGAACTGCCAGGCTTTTAGGTTGAGTTTAGAAGAGGCCATGGTACTTGGGATATTATAGCTAATGCTAAATGGATCTTGACTGAAAGCAGAAAGTGAGTACCAGAGCAATGTCTATTTGTGTTTCATTGACTATGCAAAGGCTCTGTGGATCACAACAACTGTGGCTAATTCTGAGAAGAATGGAAATCCCAGAACACTTGACAGTGCTTATGCGAAACCTATACTTGGACCAGGAGGTAGTTGTTAGAACAGAGAAAGGAAATACTGCATGGTTCAAAATTGGGAAGAGTATAAGCCAGGGATGTGTCCTTCTCCCTACCTTTTCAATCTATATGCAGAACAGACTATCTGGGAGACTAGGCTATATAAGGAGAAATGTGGCATTGGGATTGGAGGTAGACTCATAAACAATCTGTGTCATCACAACAAGATAAAGGTAAACAACTCAACTGCAAAATGGGCACAGGATATGAACAGACACATCTCCAAAGAAGACATTCAGATGGCTAACACAACATGAAGAAGTGCTCAAAATCCCTAGCTCTAAGACAGATGCAAATAAAAACAACCCACTCACTCAGTTAACAATTGTATAATTCAACAGAGCAGCAAAGAAAAAATGTTGGCAAGGTTGTGGAGAAACTCAAACCTTTATTCCCTGTTGGTGGGAGTGTAAAATAGTGCAACCACTGTGAAAGGCAGTATGGTGTTTTCTCAAAAAGTTGGAAATAGAAATACCCTTTGACCCAGCAATTCCACTATTAGGAGTATACCCTAAAGAAAACAGAACTGCAACCCAAGCAGATATATGCATATCCATGTTTATTACTGCTTTGTTCACAACAGCAAAGAGTTGGAAACAACCCAAGTGCCCAACAACAACAAATGTATAGAGAAGCTGTGGTATATTGACAAAATGGCGTATTATGCAGCACTGAAAAACAGGGAACTAATGAAATATTATGCAAAATGGGTGACCATGGAGTACATAATGTTGAGTGAAATATCTCAGTTACAAAAGGACAAATACTGCATAATGCCACTGTTATAAAATAGGACTAATAAGGGGGAAACTAAGAAAAGAGGAGATAAATATTGCATATGGCATTGAAAAAGATGAGGCAGAGAACTATATTAAAGGAATATATGATTAGTTATTATTGGCATGACATAAGTCCAGAATAAGAGCTGCATAGTAAAGTGGACTTGGTGGGGGGAGGGGCGCGACTGTATAACAATATTAAAGAATTTTTTTTTCCAAAGATAAAAGCAATCTAGGGGAGCAGGGGCAGGGAGGAAAATGTGCAACAATGAATGAATGGAAATCCAAGCTCTCTACAAACTTTCATTAAAGTATTAATTTAAAAAAAAAAAACCACAAAAAACCCACCAATCTGTTACACAGATGACAACAACCCTGCTTGTTGAAACTAAGGAGACCCTGAAGCACTTGCTGCAGAAGGTCAAGGACTGCAGCCTTCAATATGAATGGAAGCTCAACATCAAGAAAGCAAAGATTCTCACCACAGGGCCGACTGGCAGCATCATGATAGACCATGAAGAGATTGAGATTGTTAACAGCTTCAGCTTGCGTGGCTCCACAATCAACATTCTTGGTATCATCAGCCAGAAAGTTGAAAGACTAATTGCATTGGGAAAGTCTGCTGTCAGAGACCTCTCCAAAGTACTGAAGAGCAACAATGTCAGTCTGGAGACTAAAGTGTGCCTGATTTAGGCCATGGTCTTTGCAATTACTTGCTATGTGTCAGAAAGCTGGACAATGATTAGGGATGACAGGAGAATTGATGCCTTTGAGCTGTGGTGCTGGAGAAGAGTACTGAATATACTATGGACTGCTAGGAAACAAACAGATTTGTCCTACAGAGGGTGAAATCAGATCGCTCCTTGGAGGCAAGGATTCTGAAGCTTTCTCTGACATTCTTTGGACATGTTGTAAGGTGGGACCAGTCCTTGGAGAGGAATGTCATGCTTGGGAGGGTAGAGGGACAGCACAGGAAAGGAAGACCCTCTATGAGGTAGATTGATTCAGTGACTGGGGGGGTGGGGGTAGGTGTGTTGGAGACAGTGAGACTAGCAGAGAATAGAGCAGGGTTTAGGGCTGTTGTACATAGGGTCACTATGAGTCTCAAGTGACTCGACAACACATAACAATAAAACAACAAATAATCACATGGGAGATTGTCCATCTTTCTCCTGGGGAGCTGGTGGATTTGAACTGCATAACTTTGGGTTGGCAGTGCAATTCCTTACAACTAAGCCACACAGGCAAATTATGTAGCTCTTTTAAACATCATTCTGCAACTGTAAAGTGGAGACAGTGCTACCTGTCTTACAAGACTGTCCTACAAAATGTAAATAGCAGTTACTGAGTCACAGGGATTTTTACCAAGTGGTCTAAAATTGATTGAACAGGCATTGTATAATAAAGGATTACTGGAATCCAAAAATTGGAAACAAAGAAGGATTGGTAATTGAAAATACCTTGGCTTTGGTAACAGAAGTAACACCAGAAATTATATAATATTAGACCATCAATGACTTATTTACTGAAAATATCTTTCTTAAAAGTAAAACTAGCTACTACAGATGTGGACCTTGTCTACAGATGGGATATATATGAACCATATTGACTCTATCTGTGGGAAAAGCCAGTGGACAATCAGAACAAAGTCAGGGGGCAAAAGAGGAACAGACTATCAGTATTCCTACACAAGTTCAAATAGAACCTAAAGAAAATGAAAACAAGCTCACCAGCGTACATCTCACATGAATTTACAGACCATTTCAAAAACAGACTGGACAGACAGAAAACATTCTCAAATATAAACCACTGTACACGTTTGATTACAGTAGCTTCTTTAGAAGAACTCAAATTACTATGACTGAAGAGACCTGCAGAATTGTGGAAGACATGAAGGAAGCAAAGGTTATTAAAAAACTTAGGGGGCAGTGGGGAGACCAAAATGCATGTCAGAACAGACTCTGAAACTTACTCTTGAACACAGAGAAGCTAAAGTATGAAGAAATATTGAAGTAGGAGAACCAAAGAGAAGATTTCAAAGGACAGCTGAAGAAGAGAATGCAAAGTATTAAGAAGAAATGTGCATCATGAGTTGTATAATTAGATGGGTGGGGGAGGTGAGGGAATTGAAAAATCTGTTCTTAAAAACAATGTATTCAAATTTTGTATATAAACTAGTATTTTAAGAAAATAAAATTGTGCAAAGATCTGACGTCAGGAAACAAGAGAAGAACACTCTAGAGAACAAATGCAAGCCTTGAGGTACAAGGCAGAAGGATTCTTATAGGCTATCCAATGACGCAAGAAGCAACAAAATAAGATGGAAGAAAAAGATTGAAAAGAAGTGATGAATACACAACTTAGGGTAGCATACAATCAAGAAATAATAATACTGAAGGAAGAAGGGCAGATTTCACTGAAAGCACTGGCAAAAAAATAAAGCTTCGAGAATTGATAGAGAAACTGCCAAGAAATTTGTAAGTTACCTAGCCAAATAACTGCAAGAGATCTTTATTTGTGCCCATTAAAAAGGGGGTCATCCAACAGAACATAGACATTATTAAATATTACTACCATCACACTCAAAATCTTGTTGATGATCACTGAAAAACAGCTGGAGAGGTACACTGACAAGAAACCGCTTGAAAAGTCAAGCTGGATTCAGAAGAGGTTCTGGAAGAACCTTGACTAAAATCAGGAAATACCAGAAAGATGTTTACTTGTGTTTACTGCCTACGCAAAAGCATTCAACTGTATGGATTATAATAAATTATGAGAAGAGTTGGAATTTCAGGACATTTAATGTGTGTGGGCAAAACCTGTCAAAGATCAAAAAGAAGTCATTTGAACAGAGCAAAGAGATACTACATGGCTTAAAATCAGGAAAGATGTGAGTCAAAGTTGTATCCTTTCATCACACTTATTCAATGAATATTCTGAGAAGTTAGACTAAATGCAGAACATTCTGACATCAATATCAGAGACTTACCAACAGCTTGTGAATGGAGAGGACATAACCTTGCATGCTGAAAGTGAAGAGGACCTGAAGCAGGTACCGATGACTATATCAGACTATAGTTTTCAGTAGGGCTGAATTTTCAACATCAAGATGACAAAAATGCTCACCACTGGAGCAATAGATAACATAACAGATGGAGAAAAGACTGAGATCATCAATGATTCTATTTTATTTCCATAATCAACAACATGCTGGGCTGCATTGGGCAAATCTGTTTCCAAAGTCCTCTTAAAAGACCAAGGTATGCCTGTCCCAAGCCATGGCTTCCTATGCATGCAGGGAGAGAACAAAGATTAGGTGTGAAAGAGAAATGATGCCTTTGAATTTTAGTGATGGCAAAGACTATGGAATCTATCCTTGTCTGCCAAAATAGAAACAAGCATGACTTGGAAAAACTGCAGTCAGAGTGCTTCTTAGAAACAAAGAAGAGTGGAACTTCATCTGACATACTTTGGGAACGTCATCGGGAGGGCCCAATCCTTGGGAAAAGGCATCATACTTGGAAAAAAGCAAGGGTCAGCGAAGGCGAGGAAGAGCCTCAGTGAAATGGATTGACACAGTGATGACAGCAATGGATTCAAATCTAGCCGACTGTGAGGATGGGGCATGATCAGTCAGGGGTTTGTTCTATTTTATATCGGGTCACTGTAAACGGGAGATGTATCTACAACACTGAACAGCAATCCTAACAGTAAGACATCCTCTCAATACATACTCAAATTCAGACACTGCCTTCGAACACAGAAGCAAATACAGCACATTCACTGAAAAAATACCCAATCCAGTGCATCCAAATCTGTTACTGGATTGAGTTGTTTGCTAAAACTAGTAAAAGACTGAGGTTAACAGCAGCAAACTGGATATACAAGGCTCTACGTTTGGAAGTCAGGAATCAAAGATTATTCATCAAGTTTTCCATAGATGCTTGGTCCCTAGAACCTTACGGACAATCAAAATCAGTTTTTGAGTGTTAAGCCAATTAACCCGTGCATGAAGATACTGTTTCACCGAATTGTAAAATGTTGTCACACTGCAAAGAAAGTGTCATTCCTGCAGTACAGGAATCTCCCAGAATAAAGCACATACATCCCACCTCTACCATTAGCAACGGCGGAGAGCTGTTGGACCCCAAGTGGGATCAGAGGCTGTCACGACACAGCCGCATGCTCCTGCCAAAAAGCTTCCTCGGCCATTTCCACAGGGCGCCCGTTCCTCGCGATCCCTGGCTCTTCCCCGCGTACCTCGCCCGCCATGGGTCCGGACAAAATTAACAGAGGACACGGCGCCATCACCTGTCTCCACGCTGCCCAGCGGCTGCTCTTCTCTCTTAAAGTCAGCGGCCACAGTTCCGGGACAGCTGAATCGCCGGAGAATTGGATGCTGGACATGATTTCCTCGCTGGGCCCACAAGTGCATACAGGCCAACAGCCGCACACCGGGAGCCGCCATGTTAAAAGTAACAGAAACGCCGAGATGAAGGGTCAAAGGGTTTCCGCGCATGCGCACCCAGGCCTGAAGGATGGAACGCCTTAAGGGTCAAACTAAGTGAGAGACGTTCATTTTCCGAAGCGGAAATTCAGCAGAAATTTAAATTAAGATTCCTGAGTTTTTTTCAGGAAGCTGACTTTTGCAAGGAAATCGTAAATTCTGGGCTGCTAGTGTGGAGGAATTGATAGTTGATGATTCAAATTGACAGTGCGAATTCACCAGCCTCTTCAAGGGAAAGCATTAGTCTTCTGTAAAGATTTATAATCATGGAAACTAGTGAATTGATTGGATGGCACGCTGAATTTTTTTTCAAATCACAACATAAATGTAGACCTGCAAATTAAGAACAAGATCTTGAGGAAGGAGCCCTGAATTGGAAGTCTAGCTAAACTTTAAATTTACACACCAAGAATTAAGATAACCTAAATTTAAACCCTTGGCGTATGTCTTTCAAGTCTTAAAATGCCTTAAAGGTGCTTAAAATGCACCTGTTAGATAAGGAGTATCAATCCCATTTTTTTTCAAAGTTGAAGTTCTACTTTTTCATTCCTTTTATTCTCATTTCACACAAGAAGTAACTGAGGCTGTGAAGGGAAATAACTAAAAACGGGTTGGTTTGGACAGTAGAGGATTTAGGAAATGTGTCATATTTATAGATTTTTAACTATCAGATAACTAATGTAATAGTCATAGGTTTTTCTTACATTTGTCTTCTTTTTTGGATAACTTGGTTTTTAAAAATGAAATGTTTAAAAAAAAAAAAATGAAATGTTTCCATTGATTACTAAAGAGCCCTGAGGGCAAATTGTCTTATGGATTGGACTGCTAGCCAAAAAAGGTTGCCAGATCAAATCCACTATGCTCAGGGGGAGAAAGATAGGCAGTCACCTCTTGGAAAAGATTTTACAATCTCAGAAACCTGACAGAGGGGTTCTGAGTTAGAATCCACTCCACAGAAGTGGCTTTGGGTTTGAGTTTTTACCAATTAAGGTGCATTATTTACATAGTGGGTGGTATTGTTGTCCTGTTAACCAGAAGGTTGGCAGAGTGAGTCACAGATTCTTGATGGTAGAAAAATAAGGCAGTTTGCTCCAATTGATCTTTATAGCCTTGGCAAACCAATGGAGGATCTCCGTGAGTTGGAATCAACATGGAGGCGGTGTTTGAGGTTTGGGGTTTTTTAATTTTTATTTCTGAATTTTGTTTTGCGTATGTTGGGTTTTTGTTGTTTGTTTTTTGGGGTTTTTTTTTTTTTTAAACTAGACACACTTTCTTTAATTCTAATTCATAAACTTGGGAAATCCGTGGCATCCACTTCCTAAACAACATAACCTCTGGAAACTCTATGAACTTTGATAAATGTCGATAGTTATTGGAAAGCTTCAGGCCTTTTGTTTGTAACATCGCGTGACTGACTCGACAGCAATCAACAACAAAAACAACATCAGTATTACTATGGAAAAAATAATACCTTAAAAATGAAAAACACATTTGTTGTCATGGTCTGTCAAGTCATTTGCAACTAACAGGGACTCTGTATACAACAGCTCTGAACCCTGTTCTAGCAACTCTAAGTTTGAATTTGTTCTTCAGTTCCTTTAGCTTAAGAAATGCTGAACGAGTTCGGCCCTTTTGATTTTCCAACTCTAGTTCCTCGCACATTTCATTGTAATATTTTGCTTTGTCATTCCGACCTGCTTTTGCAGTCTTCTGTTCAGCTCTTTAGTATCTTAAATTCGTCATTAGAAGTAATAAAAATATTGTTCCTTTTCCTACAAACCGGTTAAATAATTGCTCAACTTTTGCTTCTCCCTTATCATGCATTTCCTACTTTTAATAGATCATAAGTAAGAGGATATTTGTTTTTGGAAAAACCGTCATTAATGATCAAAAGTCCTCTCTTTTTCTGTTAATCAAATTTCTTTTACAGGTCTTATGGATATAAAAGCTAATGTGTCTGTTATCAGTAAAAAATAATTAGTCTCTTAATTGGCCTTTGCAAAAAATTAACATTAACTCTTTCTGAATTAGGAACCTCTCTTAATGTTTAAACGTCTAAGAATATTTATGATTGTGCAGAACCTGATGACCAAAAGGCTCAAGTGCAATTTTATGTGCTATACATTAGTGCTAATTTATGGGCAAGAAATTTATTAAAACAATTTGGAGCTTTTCTATCTATCCCTGCTTTGTCAGATGCTGAATTCTATAGTCTTGCCCTTTTAGTAGAAAAGCTGATATAGAACCTGCAACTCCCTTTGAATTCTCCTTTGTTATTAATAGGAAAAGTGTAAAAACTCAGAAAAATCTAAAATATGGGTAAGAATAAGAAAAAAAAGTGTTAACAGAAATATGAAGAACAGTTGAGAATAATGAGAAAGATGTTATAAAAGGCATCAATGTTTGTATTGTTTTGTCTTTTGTCTGCCGTGTTTGTTGTCTTTTTGTCTTGCATTCAAAGTTATAATACTGATGAGCTCATACAGTTTAAAGGTTTCAGTAAAGAACAAGAATTAGTAGAGAGAGAGATAAAGTTAATATCTGCATGAATTTGAAATCTCATAGGCGAGGAAATGCTAAGAGAGGGTGTTTCAAACGTTTCACGGCACCAAAAGAGACTTTTTGTCTCAAGAGATCTTTGAAAAATCAGCTCTTGGCATCCTCTTATCACCTTCATATATCCATGCATTCTATCTGGTATCTACATGCTTAGGTAGAAATTTCCATATGTTTTAGCCAGTCTTGTAACATACACATGCCAGTGGCCGGCACTTTAAGTCTATGTGAGTTGTGTGTGTCTGTGTTAATTGCTCTACTTTAAATGAAAACCTGTAGGAGTAAAAATAAAAACTCTCCACTATAACCCCTTAATTAATGCTTGCCTGTGTTGAACCTAGTTGTGTTATGTCAAAGCTACACAGTTTGATGATCACTTTCCTTCTAATAGACTTTTCAATTTTTCAGAAACATACCTTTTTGCCTTTACATATATATCATAAAAGGTCCTAACGTTTTTACAGATGTTTCTAATTATGGAAAAAATAGAATATTGGAGTATTAACAAATTCAATGTTGAATCATCTCTTTATAAATCAGTACTAGAAAGGAAATTATGTGCTTTTTTTTTTTAGCTTTAAAGATCTGAAGACAAAAAAAAAGATCTGAAGACAATATTGATATTATTATTATTATTATTATGTGTTGCAAATGGAGGGTCCCAAAGAATGGAATAATTTTATAGTTATTAATATGGACAAACAGTCAGGAATGAGATGGAGCACAGAGCATAAAACAGGGGGCCAGAAGTTCTTGACTGGAGACCCCTAGCCAAGCTTCTCTGTATCTTTATTAAGAATTATCAGGAAGTAAATCATAGAGAAAATCCAATGCAGATGAGGCCATGCTCTTTCTATTGAAAACCTTCTGCCTGGCTCGAGAGGGAGGGGTTCACAAATGCAAGCATTTGGTATGTCTTTGGGAATTGCCTTGATGCCTCAAGGTGAGCTCCAGCTCAGGAAGCAACCCAGTTGGGTTTTGGGGGGATTTTTGTACAGTGCTTTACACATGCCAAAATTAATTTGTTTAATGCAAAACAAGACATTGAAAGGTCAGTAGTCATATTGAAGCTGGTATGTCATACTGAAGATTTAAAATATAGACTATCAATAAAATGCATGAAGTGATAAAAAAAAATTTAGCAATACTCCCTCTGTGGGGGTCCCTTGCTGTCTCCTATCTGAAACGAACAAACAGCTTATTTTCTAGGATCTAACACAAGGAAAATCCTAACATATATTTGTGGTTCCTTCAATTCCTTTTTCATATAATGTTTAGTATAAACATTTTACCTTCCCATGATTATTCCGTATTTAAAATTGCAGTTATTAAACTATGGCATTTTGGGTGGTATATCATTTTGAGGATGGAACTGAAAGTTTTGAGATGCTATGGAGTTCAAGGGGAAAGGCAAAATAACTGTTAGTAGGTTTTGTGCATTTTTTGTCCAAGAGTTAAAATGGAAGTAGTTTTGCTTTGAAATAGAATGTCTGGTTGTGTCAGAATACGAAAGATAGTAAAAGCTAAATTAAGGATGTATAGTAAGTTGTAAGGCTTAGAGAAGAGTGAATTTTAGTGCATAAGGATGGAGGAGAACTGTGTTAAACCCCAAAAATTTCAAAATCAATGTTATATCAGGAAATGAGGGAGGCTTAATGCAAGCTAAAGGTCACCCTGTGGCACTAAGGCATTCCCTAGGAGTCAACATTGTTCTTGGTTTGTATCAACTGAATCCCTCCCTACTGAGATTAGCATAAAGAGGAACTTGTCCTTATCTGCAAAGGATTTCACCAATATCCTTTATTTTTTGTTTTGTACTTTCTTATGATTTTAAACAAATACCTTCCTTGTTATTCTTGGTAGATACTCAGGGAAGCATGGCTTGGGGCCTTCATCATGGGAGCCGTTGGCCCCCTGTTTTTCACGCTGTCCGTTCTATATAAAAATAGTAATTAAATTAATCCATGTTTGGAACTGACTGAGTAGGACCTCAAACTATTGTTTAATATTCCAATTGGAAATCATGATCCTAATTCTAGGGGAGAATTAACTATGGAGGCTCATCAGGCTTTGAAGGAAGTTCGGGATTTTGTCTCTTCCTATTTTCTCATGTATAAATCATTGTAGAAAGTTATTGCTGTGTATTTTAGATGCTAAAATGACTCCTACTGCTGTATTCTGACAGAATGCTCTTTTAAAATGAATTCATTTATCCCGTTTACCTAAAAAGGTTTTGCGGACTTGCCCACTGGCTGTATCTCAATTAATAGCACAGTCAGGAAAGACAATATTTTGATATAAGACCTTATAAAATTATCATGGTTCAAAATTGGGAAGGGTGTACGCCAGGGATGCATCCTGTCTCCATACCTTTTCAACATGTATGCAGAGCAGATTATCCGAGA